AGTGGTGTCAATTCACCAAAAGCCAAGGTGAAAGTAAATAATTACACCATTAAAATTGCCCTACATATATTATGTATTATTAGTAGTTATATTGCTAATTTGGCAAAACCACAATCAGAACCTTGTGGACAGATGACAAAGCGAATAAAATAAAGTCACGACAGCCCCACTAGGCTATGTTTTTGGTCATTACCCCCAAAACACACGGATACAGCACATGCATAACCTTGCACAACCTTTCGTTGGAAGCAGTGGCGTTTGGCAGTGTGGTGGCAGTTTGGGATAATGTGATCACCTCTCTAAACGTTTCTGCCGTTTAGCACTGGGCTTCAACAAGGTGATGTCAATGTGTTTTTCATACACTTTGGCAAAACTTTGGATCTTGTACACATCCATGTAATGTGGGGGGGGGGGGGGGGAATTAGCCAATTACTGCATGCCTGGACTGCATCCATCAGTTCCTCATTCTCTGTGAAACGTCAGTTAAACCATAAAAAGGAAGTGGTCATGTATTTCAATGTACAGCCTTTTTTTCATTGTCCTGGTGGCCTTCAGTTGTTCTCTGGCCACTCGTTGATTCAATTATAAAACCTTGACATTGGTTTCATGGCTGTTAAAATATTGGACGTGCTCGTTGCCCGGCAAGAGGACATAGTAACAGCCAACCAACAAACCACTATTTGATACCAAGGTGGGAGTCAAATACAGGCGTTTTGTTACCTTTTAAAACTAATTTAATTGCTAATTTTACTTTACAAAAATATATTATTAAACACGAAAAATGTGTAGCCTAATATAAAATAAAATGTATTTCCTATTATTTGATATGATGTGCCTTAACCCCTGCTGTACACGACGGTTTTCCTCATGTAAGTTTAGTGTAGGCTACAGAGGTCACAGAGGCAGCCCTCGAAAATATAAAACTGAGCAGTCGTTAAATACATCTTCGCTGTGTTTATCCTAAGTAATAATTTGGCCAGTTTGCGCAAAATGATATAAGCCTATAATATCAACCAGGAAATGGATATACTTTAACAGAATCAGATAGGTTGGCATGTGTGCATTCTGCAGCCTTAACATTTATTCCCTTGACTTATTGGCGCGCAACAGAGAGCAGCAGATGGACATCATTACATTTTCCATATATTAGAAATGTAACTGTCCACTATCAAACCACATTTTATTGAAAGTACATTTGTATTTATTCATTACTTTTTTAATTTTTTTTTTTTATGAATTCCACCTGATCATTTCTCGTGTCCAGCTGTTTGCATTGCAGAATTGGAGAACTGTCCCTTTTTTAATCTCCTTAGATATACACACACAACACTGGCCAGTGTCATTGCCTTCAAATAATGGCAAATAACGTGCTTGATAACCTCCCGTTGGAACCTGGTGTGTCCTTAGACTAGGGAGCTGCCTGACTCTAGACTGCCCCTCAGTGGTCGCACTTGGTATTACAACCACACGCTGCAGCCTGCTCTAAATAAAAGGCTTTGCATGTGTTGTGCTCGTATTCCGGTGAAGTTGAGACAATTGAGGCGGTTGAAAGTTCTTCATTAATTCTCCTATGCAAAAAAACTACAGTGTGCTACATTGGAGGATAAACTGCCTAGATGAGAGGCGATCACATCTCTCTCCATATCTTAATAGGATCCTCTCACTGCCCATTCCCATTAATGACCAATACCCCAATTATGCAAATCAGACGGCAGTCACTAATAGTGGGAATCTGAAGTTGCTCACATAAACACCAACACTGTCTCATTGTGTAGAGAGTGTGCTAATTGGCCAATCCTTTTGGTGTAATTGCGGGGAGCGGGGTCGCGTCCTTGCCTAACCTATCTTTTAAGTATTGTTTTTCTAGCAGGAAAACAGTATGGCAGGCAATTAAGACAGGGCTCCTGAGGGCCACTTGAGGGACCAATTGCAAGGCTTCGGGGAAAGAAAGAAAAAAAAAAGTTGCAGTTACGATGACGAAGAAGTGTACCTACTCTACAGAGATGTATGTTACAACCAGAATAGGCCAGAGAGACTGGAAAATGCAATATGTATTAGGGCATTTCATACAATGAAATCTACAGGAGATAGTCCTGTAGTTTATTTATGAATTTAACCACACATATACTCACACTCACACATGCACACAGCACAGAAGCAAAAACATGTATAAAAATGATCTATAATTTAATTTCCCACAACACAAATACGCTGATGTTTTCAGTGGCGCTTAGGATGGTCATTATCGGCATGTTTCAGCAGAGTTCACTACCATGCGAAGTGTGTGTAAACAACACAGACACAGATAGGGCCTAAGCATATTGGACGCATTTCACAGCAGCTTTCCCCACTGCAGTTTAACCTCAATATTCAGTAAAAAAAAAAGCTATTCCACCGCAATGCCTCATACGTGACATTAGGCACCCTGAAAATATCTATACAAGGACAACGCAATAATAATAACGTTGGTCGGCGGGGAAACACACCACAGCTCAACTGATTAAAAATAATCATTCATGTAATTAAGAAGTCTGATGATCCCATCACGAGAAATACTTCAACCTTACGTTCAAAACGATGAAATAAAGATATGGTCTGAAGACGATTCCCAGGAGTGCGACTCAAGTTTCTCTTCACTTTATTTATTCTTTTTTTTCCCTCAATGCACCTCTCTCTCTCTCCCCCCCTCTCTCCATCTCTCTCTCTCCCTCTCCCTCTCTCTCTGTCTCTGTCTCTCTCTCTCTCTCCCTCTCCCTGCCTCTCTCTACCACAGACTTTGCCCACCCTCTATGACTAAGTTATGCCCTGTCATGTAGTCGGACGCGTCACATGCCAAGTAGACCAGTGCGGCTTGAAGGTCTGTCACTTGCGCCAGCCTTCCAGCGGGGACGTGTGACAGCCAGGCCCTGCACCAGGGGCCTCAGACTCTCTGAGTGGATGAGAGGAGTGTCAACAATACCCCTGAAAAAATAAACGGCGAGGGGAGAAGGAAAGGCAAGCGGGAGAGAGAGAGAGGGAGAGAGACACAGAGAGAGAGAGACAGAGAGAGAGACAGGGAGAGAGAGAGAGAGAGAGAGAGAGAGAGAGAGAGAGAGAGAGAGAGACACACACAGCGAGACACAGAAAGAGAGACAGAGAGAGAGAGACACAGAGAGACAGGGAGAGAGAGAGAGAGAGAGAGAGAGAGAGAGAGAGAGAGAGAGAGAAAAAAAACCAACACAATGAAATCAGAAGGCATCACACTTCAGAAGTCAGAAGTGACAGCGGTGTCTCGGAGCCACCGGTTTTGGTGACAAAAATAAACCCAATTATCGTCTGAAAGGAGAGGCCATGGCGTGGCATCTGTGATGATGTTTTTTTTTCTTTTCTTTTTTTTTTTGGGGGGGGGGGGGGGCTGTGGTTGTTTTTTTTGTTGTTTTTTTTTTGGTGCCTTTGGTGCCTCCGGTGGCACACTCCTATTGACTGGCATGTCTCAGGATGAGCCAATGAGAATTGAGCCGTATGTTAAATAAATTTGCTCGGAGCCCACGGTTAAGACACTTTAATTAAATTCCCGGGAATTGTTGCGTGCGCGGGTGTGTTTTTGAACTCACTTGACAGCGAGTCGCTAAGAACAGGTGTGTGTGTGTGTGTGTGTGTGTGTGTGTTTGGACTCCCGAGTGGTATTAGCAAGAAAACAGGTGTGATTGTTTTTGTTGGGTAATTCATTTGGGCTCTTCAGATCAGCTCTCGGTGCTTTCATGCGCGCTTTTGATGCTGCAAAGTGACTGCGATCGAGTCTCCCGCGTGACTCGCGCGGGTTTGCTCCAGCCGTGGGGCTGTTAGCCGGATCACAGTCCGGCTGGCCGTTTGAACGAACACGTCCACGCGGCCCGCCGGCTAATTCAACGCGACTTCTCATTCTTCTTGCCGTGGCGGCGAGCGACCTGAAAGGGAACTATAAAAAAAAGAAACGCCGCCCCACGTATCCAGGCGCCTTGATATGGACGTCCGCCGTGGGGGCTGAATTCAGGCCCTCGCCGGGGCCGCGCACCGCACCTTGGTAAACATATCCCACCTCAATTATATTTCTCTTCAGCCCGTCCCGTTATCTGGACCCTTTCCTGGCAATCAGAGCTGCTGTTTTCCCTCAGCCAATTTTCCAGATAATGCGGCTTATCACCGCGGCAGCTAAAGTTGCCAGTGGAACCAGCCAGCAGTCAACCCAGCGCGCACTAATTGTGTCCCTTTTTTTTATGCATATTTACCGACTGTCACTTCAAAGAAATCAGCTGCCCATTGAGACAGTGCGCTAGAAAGGGATGGGGGGGGGGGGGTGTGGGGGTGAAGGGGGTGTGGAGGGTGGAGGGTGGGGAGACAATTGCTTCTTTGCAAATTAGAATTAGCAAACAAGCTGGCGATAAATAATGCTGAGCGTGGCGTGCGAGCGGGCGCTTTGTTCTGGGGGGGGGGGGGGGGGGGGGGGCAGCAGGGCCCGGTACAGCCTGGAGGTGCTGCGTGGAGGTGCTCGGGGATAGCAGGGGGGCTAGAAGATGCTCCACTTAACACACACACACACACACACACATTTAGGCACACACACACACACACACAGACGTGGCGCTTGCCTCTGTGCTCGTCTCGTCTTTCCTCCGCTCAGCTTCACAGACAGACAGACACAAACAAGGCGCCATTGTTGTAGCAACACTCGGAGTGAGGATGCTAATTAGATTTTCTAATTGAATAGAACAATTAGAGCAAGTGTTTGCTTGATTCATCCCTCAAGACGTCATCTAATTAAGCACTGATGCATTGTTTGAGGGCTTAAACGAGCGCATCACTCTCCATACAACAGGGCCCCCCGTTTTTTTTTTTTTACACAGAAAAGCAAATACAATCATCACCAATTTCTCTGGCCACCCATCTGCTACCGCGCTCCAAAGGTGGACCACTGCGGTGCTGGTGGTGATTTATCTTAAGGTTAAAAAAGAGAGAGACAGTGAGGCCGGATAGACTGTGAGGCAGAATAGCCAAGCGGTGGATAGGGGGGGTTTTGACTCCCAGCTTAAATCTCTGGGTTCGAACCCCAGTGTCTGCAGTCTTACCTGTATGAGCAAGATGCCCCCTAACCCCTACCTGCTCTGACATGCATCTAAAATAATTCACTGCAAGTATTTTAAGATTAAGAGTGAATGGTGAAGTGGTTCCCAACCTTTTGCGGCGCCAACTTTAACTTTTGTGCATCTGCTTCCAACTAATTAACATCTGCCGGTAATATCGATGTCCCGGTGAAAGTAATCGCATCGCTCTACTACACACTAAGGGATTAGTAGAAGTTTGCTCCTGGCTATGAATCATTAGGCAGTGAGTTCGTATATACAGGCCGTCTATGAGACGTCTATGAAAAGAAAAAATAAATGGTTTGCTAAGATGGATCATCAAATATCTATATAGCTTATGTCAGCAATCTCCTGCGACCCCATATGCATATCAGGCTTTTACCCCAAAACTTCAGGGCCGCTGGAGTAATAGACAGTAAATAGTAGGCCTGGAGAGAGCGTCGCGTACGGTGAGATGCAGTTGACGTTGACTCCTCTGTGGATCCATCCTGAGCCGAGCCTCTGCGTCAGCTTCACCGGTCCTGCCTGGGAGGCGATGCAGGACAGCTGCTGCTGGGGGAGGGCTACTGCGTGGGGAGATGGAGAACATAAAGCACATCGAATATGAGAAAATTAGCACGAGGGAGAGGATAGGAGTAACTAACTCGTGGTGGGGGTGTGTGACTCCCAGCCGAAAGGTTCTGGGTTCAAGCCCCACCCCTACCTGCTTATTAATGACAAGTATCAAAAGAAAATTCACGGTTGGATAATAGAGTCAGCTAAATGACTAAATAGTCAACGGTAGTGCTGCATATACACCAAATGATGATTTATACCTTCAAAGTCACGATGAACATATCATGATTGTAATTTGGCTCCAGACAATCATTCAGAGAGTCAATAATACACACAAAGAACAACCACTAAACAAGTTCCATGAGACCCATTAGGAAATATGTTGTGTATATTGTTGGCTCCTAGCAGGGTGGTACAACGGGGGCCGGGGGGCCCCTGTGGTTCTTTTTCGGCGGCCCCGTGTAAAATTAATTGCTTTTAATGTCCGGTTATGCGTGGCGCCCGGCAACAAAGGTGGGACGTCATTTGTTTGCCCTGACCATCACAGATGCCGCACGCTGCATGGGATGCCAGGCCTGGGCCTTCGCTCGGTGCCAGTTGATTAATCATGGCACGGAAAGCTCCAAGTTACATACAACTTTAGTAGTTAACCCCGTCACCCGGGCCATCGCACTGCCAAATGAGTCCAGTACAGAGGCTGGGATGATGAATGCCAGCCAGCTGCATGGAGGTGGGCTCCTGGAGAGCCAGGACTGGGCATCCTGTATACATCGCTCACATTAAGAAAGAGAGAGAGAGAGGGGTGGGGGAGGATATTAACAAACAGCCATGCTGGTTGGTGAGACTGGTTTGCCAAAAGGGGAGGGTTATGGTGATAACGGATGGAAGAGAAATATTGATGCCCTTAATAATACACTTGGCATTTCTTAACTTCACCCGGTGGTATAACGGTACTGTAATATATGGTGTTCTAATACAGTCATATTATGGAGGTATTGTATCTGTTGTATTTATCTTAATGTACACAGATGCTTTTCTAAATATTCAATCATTAGTCAAATAAACCATTTTTTTAATTAAAACATAAAAACATGGTACAGGCAGTGCAGGGATATGTTCCCTCTATCAATGGCAGGTCTATTGTAATCTCATGGTGACCTCTGTGACCTTTGATGCAGGTTGTATGGCCAGATCCCCATTCACATGCTGCCCTAAAGATCGGAGAAGGACGGTGTGGGAGCATAGGGGGGGGGGGGGGGGGGGGGCACAGGGCAGCCTGAGTGGTGGTTACAGAGAACCGCTGGTCCTGTGATGATCCAGTACCAAGGTCTAGGCAGACCCTGGCTGGGCCACGCAGGGCTGGATAATTCATCCATTCATTCATTCAACTTGTATTTACTTCTCGGTAATACATTGAGGGGTGGACCCTCATTTTCAATGATGCCGAGATTACATTTGGCAAAAAACAAAAATAACAAAATAACAAAATAAACAAAACAAAATTAGTCCGACAATAAGAACACAAACATCAACATTGGTTTAAACAATGCCTAATTAAAACAATTACATTTAATAAAAATGTTCAAAAGGGCAGAGGTATCCCTCCTCTGAAGAGTTCGCAAGGAGGAGCAGAGCCCAGGACTTAAGACACAGATTGAAGGCAAAATCCGACTTATCAGGACAGGAAACACAGCTCAAAATGCCTAACATCGCTAATCCCTGCGCGAGACCCCATGATATGGCTCCCAAATACCATTCAGAAAACGCCTTCATCCTTCAAATAAACCCACATTGATGTTTTCTCCGTCTTGAAGAGCGGTAATCCCCCAGAGGGAGAGGGAGAGGGAGAGAGAGAGAGAGCGAGAGAGAGAGAGAGAGAGAGAGAGAGAGAGAGGGAGAGAGAAATGGAGGCAGAGGGTTAAACTCTCTCCAAAGCCCTCTTTAATATTCAGCCTATTGCCCCTTTTTCAACAGAGAGAAAACATGCTCTTTATCAGCCATGTCTCTGTGTGCCCGATAAAAGAGTTAAAATGATAGCCTATATCGGCCGTGGATTGGGACCGAATGGGAGACAGTGGTGCTTTTTGCTGTTGGACATTAACATGCAGCTGAGACACACAGGGATAACTTTAACTGAGAGAGAGAGAGAGAGAGAGAGAGACTCTCCCGCCTGTCCCACTCACCCACACACACACACACAACGATGGAGAGCGCAAGCATGGGTCTGGGGGGGGTGACCATGTCAACTGGGATATTTGTTGTTCATCTGTCACTGGTGGCATTCTCAAGTAGAAGGCATCGACGCATCGCTCACACACACATGCTCGCGCGATTCGGCAGATGGACAAAAAGCTGTCATTGCGCATTTTAATTGCCCACTTTTGGGGGACGCCATTTGGCCACAACAGGTCCCATCTGATTACACATTATGACAATATTATAGCAGATGTCCGGACCAATAAAGTACATTCCTGTAGGACGGCGCGTTAATGCGAGCAATTGATCACTTCTTTCTACATGCGGCCTGGCCTCCATTTAGCAGCATGCGTGTGATTTCCAGTACGGCTCCTCCTGCAGTGGGGGACTGGCAGACCCAGATGGCACGGAGGAGGTCGCTTCGCTAGTCCTTCATATGCTCAACCTGCCACTTCGTCCCCCACGTCAGAGGGCACAATTCCCAGGGGGGACGTGTCCTCCCCACCAATGTTCAAAGAGAGATATTATTATTATTATTATTATATTCTGCGCTTATTTCTGCGCATATTTCTGCGGTTCCCCTAGTTCGATTCCCGCCTGCGGTCACTTGCTACATGCCATTCCCTCTCTCACTCTCTCAACCCACTTTCCTGTCCAATCTGGCCAATTAGGTCAATGCATAAAGGCATAAATGCCCCAAAAAAGCATGAAAAAAAAGACACATAGTGTAGACACTAGACTGACGAAGCCTCGCGTTGGAGAAGCAGAACAAGGGTTTTTTTCACTTTACTTTGGGGGGCCCGCGGCGCGCTAACAAAGGGCCCGTCTTCCGCCATTCAAACCAGGCTGCTCCTGGCACGCGCCCGGGTTCAGCCCAGCACACAGGAACCCCTCCTTCCCTTTCCCCCTCTCCTCCCTTACCTCCCCTCCCCTCGTCTTGGACCTCAGTTTGCCTTTCCGCATCCTTCCAGAAGCCGCCGCGTGGAGGGGATGTTTATTATGATGCAAAGTTGCATCGGCGAAACGCAATCACAACACATTGTATGTACTTGTTTTGTAGAGAGCAGGGGGGGGGGGCGGAGAGAGAGAGAGAGAGAGAGCGAGGGATAAACACGCTGTAGAAGAGCTGAACCGGGGTTAAAGTTGTGAGAGAAAGGCAGAAGAAGCTGTGTAATCCTATTGGGAGTGTACCCCCACGCCCAAGTTCCCTTGTGGTCGACTCAGATTTGGCAAGTCTTGTTTTCTATTGTTTTCATCCCTTCATTTTGTTTTTTTCTTCCCAGCTACTTCACACCATGCAACTCCATTTTGTCTGAATAAAATAAAATGCATTGTTGTGTTTCTTTGTACTCTCAGGTACAATGGTGGCAGTGTGGTGATTAGACATTCAATGTTTTCTTACTTTACTTCCTCTCTGTGCCAAGTAGCAAGATTTAGTTTGAACCTGGAAGAGCTCCAAGCATAACGTGTGTGTGTGTGTGACTGTGTGTGTGTGTGTGTATGTGTGCGTGTCTAGGTGTGTATGTGTGTGTCTGTGTGCATGCATGTGTGTGTGTATGTCTGTCTGTGTGCATGAGTTGTGTCTAGGTGCGAATGCGCATGTGCGTGTGTGTGTGTGTTTGTGTGAGCATGCGTGCACAACTGCACATGTGTGTATGTGTGTGTGTGTGTGTGTGTGTGTGTGTGTGTGTGTGTGCGTGCATGCATGTATTCATAGGGTTGAATCATGGCTCACCTAGTAGACTGGCCATGGAGGCTGTGTTTATGATCTTGCCGTATCCTTGCTTCAGCATCACCCGACCGGCAGCCTGCGGACGGGTTAAACATTCAGAGGTGAAGCACGACACGTTTTAACACAGTTATGGTTGAGCAGTCGTATCCTAGCAGAGACACAATGGAGACGGATCGCCAACACCCCAGTGTACACACCTAGTGTTAGAGTGGTATTTTTTTAATTTAGCACTGGTATGACCTTGACTGGCATGAAAACCTAATTTCTTCCTCTTGATTTATAGTGTTGGTCAGGAACCATATTTATTGAAGTGAATCCATCCGTAACGCTTTCTAACTGTTATTTATTATTTTGGCATTTAGGGTGACGCTTTTATCCTACTTAAAAGTGAATATAGATACGGGTCCTAAAGGAGTAGATAATAAATAATGCCATTTGGTGGACACTTTCATCCAAAGCGTCTCACAATACCGTGAGTGCATCCATTTTAAGCAT